CCACTCTGGGCGACAGAGTGAGACTCCAACTCAAAAAAAAAAAAAGAAAGAAAGAGTAAAGAGGAGAATAATAGAATAATGGTTACCAGAGGCTGGGAAATGTTAGATGAGAGTTGATAAAGAGAGGCTAGTTGATGGACACAAATATACAGCCAGTTAGAAGGAATAAATTCTATTGTTCAATAGCACGGCAGAATAACTATATTTAACAATAGTTTATTGTATATTTTAAAAGAATTGTAATAGAAGATTTGAAATGTTTCCAACACAGAGAACAATAATACCCTGGTTTTATTGTTATATTTTTATGCATATATCAAAATATCACATGAATACTTGTTATTTATAATTTAAAAAAACTGAGATAGTTACAGCTATTCAAGATTAGAGGAGGTCTATGTTGTCATTTTGAGCTAAGGCCTAATAGAACTCAAAACTTTGGCTTGAGGCTTGTAGGAGAGTGTACTGATTCCTATGTACTAGAGTGAGGCAAGGAGATGGTTGAGAGAATTTGCCATTGCCATCAAGTGTCTCATACTCTCAGCAGGGTGTGGGAGCACAGACTGACTTCAGATTTCCTGAGAACAATCTCTGAATAAGTATTTAAAAGAGTTTTAGACATCAAGGGGCTTTGATGGTGAACAAAGATCTGTATGGATCAATAACCAAAGACTATATGGGATTGAGAACATTTTGGCAAATGTTGGTCAGGAAAGTTGGACACACTAAAGATCATACGAATGTCTCACTCTCCTGACTCTGTGCCTCTATGGGTTTTCCCTGTAATTTATGCCAAATCCAGGAAAAATATTTGTGGCCTAACAGAAATAAGGTCTTTTAGTAGATATTAAGTTGGACAATCACGGAAATGCAAATTAAAACCACAATGAGGTACCACCTTACACCCATCAGAATGGCCATTATTAAAAATAAAAATAAAGCAATAAATGTGAGTGCAGATGCAGAGAAAAGGAAGCATATATACACTGTTGGTGGGAGTGTAAATTAGTACAACTTCTATGGAAAGCAGTATGGAGCTTACTCAAAGAACTATAATTAGATCTACCATTTGATCCAGCAATCCCACTACCAGGTATCTACCCTAAGAAACAGAAGTCATTATATAAAAAAGACACCTGCACCCACATGTTCATCACAGCACAATTCATATTTGCAAAGACATAGACTCAACCTATATACCCATCAACCAATCAGTGGATAATGAAAAAGTACTATATATACACCATAGGATACTTCACAGCCATAAAAAAATGAAATCATGTCCTTTGCAACAACATGGATGGAGCTGGAGGTCATCATCCTAAGTAAACTGACTCAGAAACAAAAAACCCAAACACCTTATGTTCTCACTCACATGTGGGAGCTAAATGGTCACAAAGATGGAAACAATAGACACTGGAGACACCGATAATGGGGGAGGAGTGGGGGGAAGTTAGGGTTCAGAAACTACCTATGGGGCACAATGTTCGCTATCTGGCAAATGGGCCACCTGAGACCCAATCCCCACCACTACACATTATGTCCATGTAACAAATAGACATGCATACCCCCTGAATCTAAAAAAAAAATATTTAAAGTCACATTTATTACAAAATTGAAGATATGGTTAGTTAGTTATAATATTGGTTATGTAGTCCAGGAGGTAGGAGAAATTTGGAAATAGAGATTTCTGCTCACCTCATCAGTAAAGGTACCTGCATAATCAACGTTTGTATAACTAACCCTGAATTGTACCCCACATCTTTATAATTAAAAAAAAAGAAAAATAGGCCAGAACAACTTGATAGAGGACAAAGTAAAAAACAATTTCTGTTCAGTTTGTTCACATAGTCATTGGTGAAAAGGATGTAATTATGAAGATTTGCAGAACTGAAATCTCTAAACAAACATTTCCAAGACATGAAAGAAAGATTTGAAAGACAATGAGAAACAGCAGAAAATTGTGCTGGAATCAAGATATTTAAAATTTAGTTCCAATTTTATTGTATGCCATATCATGGTATCATGGTACTCTGAAAAAACCCAAATTGTGGTCCTGCATTGAATATTTATTATGTTACTAATGGGTCATTTTATATTATACTGTACACACACACACACACACACACACACACACACACACACATTCCATATATACACACTATATATAATATATGTAACTTCTATGGAAATAAAATTTATTTCAGAATTGATTTCAAGATTAAATAAGATAACATATTATCTTAGGATGGATTTTTTTTTAAAGAGCAGAGTCTAAATTAGGAATTCTTTGCCCCATAATTTATTGAGAGAAGCAGAATGATACCTGGGAAAAAGTTAAGCATGGATGTGACTCAGCCAGGGTCTTGATTCAGCATGATTCCATGGTCAGCTCTGGAGCATGAATTGCATCACAGAATTGATTCTTCCTACTATGAGGCAAGGGACCTTTTGTGCATAAGAATTAAGTAGTTATTAGCTATGGTCTATTAGGGTAGAGAATTACCCTACTGGACAATGCTGACTCTCATTGGCAAAGGTTGATGTTTTGAGGAAAGGGGCGACTGTGAGCCAGGTGTAGCCAACATTCAGCAGCTAGAGATGGTATACCAGTTTGAGAAAGGGGACCAGACTGGACATCAACAATGTTGACTATTAATATGGATCTCTCCTGGCAATGAGTAGTATTCAAGAAATGATAGACTTTATAATTATATTCTAAATTTTGGCTTATGTATTTATTTAATGGGGTCTTACAAGTTGTGAAGAGTTGAAATAATGTAGGTTAAAGCACTTGTTAACAGAAAATATCTGACTAAATACAAGGAATATACCTAAGGCAATACAATTAATAGCTAAGAGTCAGGATTTTAAAAAAATAGTAACCAAGGAACCAGTATATTATCTTAGTTCCTAGTTGATTTTGGGAATGATTACACGGCATTCTGTCCATTCTTTTGTAGTCTGGTAGAAATAAAAATGATGACTCAGTTGTTGACTCTGGGATTCCATATTAGAGGGAACAACAGAAAGAGATACCATCCCTACTTATACATGACTAACATGACTTTGTTCTTGGTTTATATTGAAGGATGAAGGACTGGGTAGCAGCATGACCACGTGTCATTGTGCCCATCTTCCCAACAAAGTGTCCTCTTGAAAGGGGAGCATGGCCAGTAGTATGGCATGTGGGCCTATCATGTGAATTGCTAGATTGCTTATTAGGATGAACGGACAGGGAAATGGTAATTAATTTGCTCCTCTTCTTTCCCCGTACCTACTATCATTTGAAAAAAGCCTAACTCTGTCATATACTCACACTAAAAATATCAGCCTTCCCAGGGGGTTCATTTCAACTCTAGTGAAGGTTAAATGCCCTGGGTAAAAGTTGGCTTACTACGCTTCTCTCACATAACTACAGCAGCAGAATGAGGAGTGCCCAGGGGGCTAATGTAGCTATTCCACATGGGCCTTCACTATGTCTCTCTTTGTTCTGTTTCTTCTGCCTGCCACCATACCTGTTCTATTTCTCAACCCAGAACCTCTCCAGTGTGACAGTGGGTTTCCTTCACTAGTGTTTCCACTGTTATCTTCCCTTTCTGTTTCGTCCATCAGTGTGCTCACATCTATTTTCCATCTAATGACAATTATCGATATCTTTATCTTTTTATTATTTTGACAATTATGGATTCAGCTTCTCCTACTTATGCTTCTAAATTGTATTTCAGTGGGAATTTTAAATGAATCAGAGGAGAGTACATATGCTTAGTAAGAAATTTTTAATCAGAGGCACACCATAGTCACATTTAATACTTCAAGCTGACTATATAATTTTGTCTTACATGTGAAAAAATATTCATAAGAATAATCAAGAACTAGATCAGAAACCCAAGGGAGAATTGACTTATGGCTGGTACAAGTCAATGGATTATAAAGAAAGAAGTGAGTTCACGTTGACCTTCTGAAAATAATCCCTATTAGCCAGACTCTCATTTAATCTGAGAGCTCTCCTTATTTGGTTATCCCATTTTCTATCCAATACTCTCTATGCTAAAAAAAGTTGAGTGGGAAAGGCTACTTGCTCAAGCTTCATCTTATTATTGGGCCCCAGAGCAGATTGCTCTTCATTGATACATCCTGGCTTCCACCCTCATGGAATCACTGCTTGCTTAGTTCTGCTGAGTGTCACCGTCAATCTTTCCCACGTCTTCTATTCCTTCCACTATTTTTCTTATTTATTGTCTGCTGGTTGCACTCCTTCCAGCTCTGTAGAGTTCATATAGCTTTACCTTTCATTTTCTTTTCTTGATTCTTACCAGAATTACTTATTTACAAGTTATGTTTTCTTATCCTTACCTTTCTGCTCTAGTTTCTCCATAGATGGGCCTCTGTTAATGTCCTTTTTAGTGTCAGAGTTCTATAATTTGGCAAAATATATCAGTCTATTCTGAGCATTGTCGACTGGAACAGGACTCTCATTTTCTTTTCTTAAACATGAGATTCCTAAGTTCTTTTCTCCTAGCCTTACAATTATCATACTTATTGATTTGAAACCAAAAAGTCTTTTTCACGTATTCTGATTCACTAAGAAAATCATTGCCTTTATTTGTTTGCATTGATTAATTAATTAATGTCATGAAATACAGGCTAATTTTAGGCATAAGTCTCTGGTCTAATTTATTTTTTCCCTTTAGCACCAAATAAAGGAATAATCTCTTGCTTACATCTAGCACAGAGATATGTCAAGCTCATCTTAGCTTAAAACAGCTGATCTTCTCCCCTTTCCCTGATGAATGGCTTCAAAAAATAATATAGAGGGTCTCAATGGTATTCCAAAGTCTAGAATATTGTTTTCTGTGACAAATTTCCAGTGAAGTAAATTACTCTTTAATGTTGATATGCCTCAAATTTCTCATGTATTTTAGTATTAATTCCATGTTCTGCACAGAAGGTGACATCACCACAGATTTGGAATAGAAGCAACACTTTCTGTAAAGTTTAATATCACATCTCCGAAATGAGAAAATAGTTCCTTAATCCCGCCTCTGGCCCCCAGAGGGCGACGTTGTACAAAAGCGGCATCTGCTTTTCCTGGAGACCATCACCCTCCACTGAGCCCCTCCTCCCTGCAGCTGGCGGCTGTGTCCTCACAGATGACAGTGCAGATGGGGAACCGCGATGAGAACATGAGGCGAGAAAGTATCTAGACTCTTTTTTAAAAAGCCCTTCTTTAACCATTTTTGAGACTTCCCAAAGCTAGGGACTTGTCCAGCTCCACTTTCTCACTGCTCCTAACTTCGTGGCGAGTGTCCCACCTGCTCAGGGTTCTGCAGCGTTTCCACCGTTCAGCCATGCGCCTGCTGCTCGTCCCGGTGCTCGAGGTGATTTTTGCCCTTGGTGAGTGACATTTCATTCCTTTTCCTCCTCTCATAAAAGAGACGGTGTTCTCGTTGGGCCTGACTAGAGACATCTTTTCTTCATAGCCAGGTCTGCGCTGCTTTTACTTACACAGCATTGATGTTGCAGGAGGAATTGGAGCCCAGTCCGTGACCCAGCCCGAGGGCCACATCACTGTCTCTGAAGGAGCCCCTCTCCAGCTGAGGTGCAACTATTCATCTTCTTATTCACCATATCTCTTCTGGTATGTGCAATACCCCAACCAAGGACTCCAGCTTCTGCTGAAGTATGTGTCGGGGAACACCCTGGTTAAAGGCATCAAAGATTTTGAGGCAGAATTTAAGAAGAGTGAAACCTCCTTCCACCTGAAGAAATCAGCAGCCCATTTGAGAGACTCGGCTGAGTACTTCTGTGCTCTGAGTGACACTGTGGCTGAGACTGCAGGGGGAGCAGATCACAAACCTCTTGAGACATTGGCAATTTCTGTGACTCAAGAGCTCAATCACGAATTCTACTTTATGCTACTAAATATCCACTCCAACTTTGATGCTTACAAATATATGCTGTATATTTTTATGTGTTTATTTTTAAACTATCTGTGACTTCAGATTTAAAGTGTGTGTGTGTGTGTGTGTGTGTGTGTGTGTGTGTGTGTACGTGTGTGTGTGTCTTTTTGAGTTGGAGTCTCACTCTGTTGCCCAAGCTGGAGTGCAGTGGCACGATCATGGTCACTGCAGCCTCCACCTGCTGGGCTCATGCGATCTTTCCACCTCAGCCTTCCAAGCAGTGGAACTACAGGTGTGCACTACTATGCCCAGCTAATTTTTTGATTTATTGTAGAGATGAGGTCTCGCTAAACTTGCTTAGGTTGGTCTTGAACCCTTGGGCTCGGGCAATCCTCTCGTCTCTGACTCCCAAAGTGGAGCTTTGATCCACCACACCTGGTTGAAGTGTGATTCTTATAGGTAGCATAACATATTGTTGCCTTTTTTTATCCACTCTGCCAATCTCTGTTTTTCCATTGACAAGTTTAGGTAATTAAAATGTAATATAAGTATTGATCAGATTGAATTTAGATACACTATTTTATTATTGCTTCTGTTTCACCCATCTTTAATTTTTTTGTTTTCTTTTTTTCCTCACTGCTTGAGGATTAGATGCATATTTTTAATATTATATTTTAACTTATCTATGGACTTGGCTGTATCTCTGTATTTTTGACTGGTTACTCTGGAGTTTTCAATATATATGCCTAACTATTCAGTGTCTTGTGTGAGTGAATATTGTACCTCTCCATGTAACATGTAGAAATTCAGGACTCCAGCTCTCTTTATCCACCAATACTGAATTTTGTTATAGTCATTCGTATATGAGGGGGGACCTGAAAAAAACCGGAATCATTTTTTGGGGTACAGTCTTGTAGTACAGTCTTCCCCTGCTGGGTATATGTTCTATGAACCCATTGGCGTCAGTATACCAGAATTGTGAGAGGCTGTTTGGCTTCAGTGAATTTTATTTTTGGAGAGTCTTTCATCGTATTTGCCAGTTTCATGTTAGGTGATTTACGAGCCCACCTGCCCACACCGTGTTGAGTGTTGAGCTGTTTTGTTGGTTTTTTCCCCCCTCAGAAACGGCTTGACTTCCATGCCCTACCCTCCCTATTCATCCAATCTCCTTTTGAGCGACTTTTTTTCATTGTTTGTTTCCCTGGATGAAAAAAGTCCTCAAAGGAAAACTTTTTGCTGATGTGGAAGAGGTGAAACAAGAAATGGAAAAAAACACTAAAAGACTTAAAAAATGATAAGTTCAAAAACTGTTTTGAGCAGTGGAAAAAGCATTTCAAGAGATGGATTGCATCAAATGAGGAGTCCTTTGAAGATGACTTAAGTTAAACATGTAAGAATAAATACACTGCTTTTAACAAATTCCAATTTCAGGGGGTTCTCTCTCATATATTTCAACTATATGCATTTAAAACCTCACTATACAATGCTATAATTTTTGCTTTAAACAATTATATTTACTTTATAAAACTTAAGGGGAGAAAGAAGAAGTATTCCCTAATTAAAGGTATTTACCACTTTGGGTATTGTTTCTTTGTTCCTGAAGATTTTTCTTTTCCTGTGACACTAGGGGATGTGTCTGAAGTGATGCAGTTCCCTTCAAACTTGAAAAGCTATTTTGAACATTTCTTCTAGAGTTGATTTCCTGGCAACTATATATTTTTGAGTTGTTGTCTGAAAATGTCTTTATTCTTAATTTCTCCTTTACTTCTGGATGATATTTTTTCTGGGTCTGTAATTCTGTACCAATACATTGCCTCCTCACTTTAAAGATGGCATTTCATTGTCTTTTTGTCTCCATGTTTTCTGATGACAAATCCATGATCATTCAAGTAATTGTAATTCACAGTGATGTAATATGCTTTTTCTAGCTACTTCATATATATGCTGTTTTCTCTCGCACACACACAACCATAAAATTTTTTGTTGTCAGCAGTTTAATTATGATGTATTTAGGTGTCTTTGATATTTTTTTCCTTTTTCGGGCTTGAGTTTATAAACATATGTCTTTCATTAAATTTGACAAGTTTTTGTCCATTCTTTCTTAATACATTTTGGGATCCAATCTTTTTCTCCTCTCCTCTAGGACTCCAGTGAGATATAGTTAGACTTCAAGATATTGTCCCACAGGTCTCTAGGGCTCTATTTTTTAATTTCTTTTTTCTCTCTTGATTTTAAGATTTAATCAGCATTTCTTGACTTTGGTACTACTGACATATTTGACTAAATACTTTTTTATTGCAGTGTGGGGCTGTTCTGTGTATAGTAGAATTCTCAACAGCACCACTGACCCCTGCTCAATAAATGCCTGTAGCATTACACACTACAAGTTGTGACAACCAAAATTAGGTCCATATTTGCCAAGTGTCTCCTGGGAGGGAAGGTGAATGGGATGCAAAGTCAAAATTGTTTGTGTTAAGTAATCTATATGGATCTATTTCTTTTTTAAAAAAATTTTATTTTAAAGTTGAGGGGTACAATTCAGGATTAGGTACACAAATGTTCATTATGCAGGTACCCTTGTTGGCGAGATGTACCCCCTCATCCCCTAGCAGATTCCCACTACTGTCAATTCCACCTCCCCTGCACCTCAGCAGTTTCCTACTACTGACAATCCTTTTCTTATAGTATTATAATAATTGTTCAGGGTCTACTTATGTGGTATTCAGTTATTTGTTTCTGTGATAGATCACTCAGCATTATAGACTCTTAGTTCATCCAAGTTGCTATGAAGTTCATAATTTTGTCCTTCTTTAGGGCTGTGTAATATTTCATTATGTATATGTATCACATTTTTTTATCCAGTCCTCTTTCTATGGGCAGCATGTTTGGTCCCATGTTTTTGCTATTGTGAACAGTGCTGCAATAAACATACGTGAGCAGGATTCTTTTTCATAGGGTGATTTGAGGTCCTTCGGGTATATTCCCAGTAAGGGGATTGTGGGGTCATATGGAAGGTCAATTTTTAGATCTTTTAGGAATCATTAAACTGTTTTCCACAGAGGTTGTATTAGTTTACACCCCCACCAACAGTGTAGAAGCCTTCCCTTTGCACTACATCCTCTCCAGCATCTGTTGTTTTTAAGTTATTGATGATGGCCATCCTGACTGGAGTTAGGTGGTATCTCAGTGTGGTTTTAATTTGCATTTCTTTGATGATCAGTGAGGCTGAGCATTTTTTCGTGTATCTGTTGGCTACTCGTATGTTTTCTTTTGTGACTGTCTATTCATATCTTTTGCCCACTTTGTAATGGGGAATTTTTTTTTCTTTTTGGCATATTTGAGTTCCTTATAGATCCTAGATGTTAGGCCTTTGTCAGATATACAGTTGGCAAATATTTTTTCCTAGTCTGTGAGCGGTCTCCCTGCTCTGTTGTTGGTTTCTTTGGCTTTGAAACGTTTGTCAGTATGATGAGGTCTCACTTGTCTATCTTATCTCTTATGGCATGGGCCCTTGGGGCTTTGATCAGGAATTGGTTGCCAGTTTCAATTTCCATAAGGGGATCTTCTGCATTTTCTAAGACTCTTATAGCTTGAGGTTTTATGTTTAGGTCTTTGATCCATGTGGAGTTGATTTTTGTGTATGATGGTAAGTAGGGATCTTGTTTTAATCTTCTGCATGTGATCAGCCAATTTTTGCATTACCATTTACCGAGTAGATTCTCCTCTCCCCAGTGGTTGGTGGTGGAGGCTTTGTCAAAGATGAGTTGGTTGAGAAATTGAGGTTTTATTTCTGGAATCTCTATTGTTTCATTGGTCTAAATGCTTGTTCTTACACCAATGCCAGGCTGTTTTGATTATTGTAGCTTTATAATAAAGTTTAAAGTCTGTGAGTGTGAAACCGCCTGCTTTATTTTTTTTTGTTTTATTTTGTTTTGTTTTTGGCTGAGGTTGTTTTGGCTACTCGTAGTCATTTATGTTTTCACATGAGTTCCTGTATTGTGGTTTCCAGGTCTGAGAGGAATGCTGCTGGCAATTTAATGGGTATTGCATTAAATCTCTAGATTGCCTTGGGTAGAAGGGACCTTTTTTCTTTAACTTTAATTTTTTTTTTTATGCTTGAGGTATTGCAATCTGTAGTCTCCCTGATTCCACATCTTGCCTTCCTCTTCTTCCTTTTAAAACCTTCCAAACTACTCTTTAGAGGAGACCGAGTTTATGACATCAGATGTTTATGAAATAACTTCTAATAGATTCTGTGTTAAACAAACCAATTCTACGTTATCTGAACTTTTCTGAATTCTTTTTTTTTTTTTTTTACTTTTATTTTTTTATTTTAAAGATGTGGGGCACAATTCAGAGTTAGGTATACAAATGTTCATTATGCAGGGACCCTTGTTGATGAGGTGTGCCTCCCCTTCCCCAGGCAGATTCCCACTACTGCCAATACTCCCTCCCCATGTCCCTCCCAGCAGGTTTCTGCTATTGCCAATCTTTTTCTTACACTATTAGGATAATTGTTCAAGGTTCACTTATGAGTGAGAACATGTGATACTCAGTTCTTTGTTTCTGTGAAAGATCACTCAGTATTATAGACTCTAAGTCCATCCAGGTTTCTGTGAAGTTTATGATTTTGTTTTTCTTTATGGTTGCATAATATAGAATGGACATCTTAACAATGTCGATTATTCCAATCCATGAGCATGGAAAATTTTTCCATTTGTTTGTGTCATCTTTTATTTCTTTGAGCAATGTTTTGTAGTTTTCATTGTAAAATTCTTTCATGTATCTGGTTAGGAAGATGCCGTGGTATTTCATTTTTTTTTTTTTTTTTGACTATTGTGAATGGGATTGTGTTTTTATTTGGGCTTCTGTTTATTTATTGTTGGTGTATAGAAATATGACTGTCTTTTGAACATTTATTTTATACCCTGAGACTTAGCCGAAGTCCTTTATCAGTGCAAGGAGCTTTTTGACAGATTCTCTTGGGTTTTCAAGGCATAGAATCATGTTGTCTACAACGAGGGATAACTTGACTTCTTTTCCTATTTGGATACCCTGGATCTCCTTCTCTTATGTGATTGCTCTATCTAGGACTT